TGATAAGTTAATAAAATGGATAATTTTCGATCAACAACCCTTTGATGTTGTTGAAGATAAATGTTTTGTTGATTTGGTATCTGAACTTGATTCACGTTATAGGTTACCTTGCCATCAAACAATTTCAAGTTGGATTGAATCAATTTTTAAGAAACAAAAAATTGTCATTAAAAAAATGTTTAATGATTTTTCACATAGGGTATCTCTCACAACAGATGCCTGGACTTCAACAACTACAAATCAAGGGTATCTAGGCATCACAGCTCATTGGATTGATGACAGTTGGAGAATGAAAAAAATATTACTTAATTTTATACCTCTTAATGAAAGCCACACTGGGGTCTATTTAGCAAATAAAATTTTAGATACTTTAGAAGAGTTTTCACTTTGCAAGAAAGTTTTGGCAATGACTACTGACAACAGGTCAAACATGGTTAGTTTAGCAGAACACTTAAATAATTATTTAATTCAAAAATACAACAATAAGTATTTTATGCATCTCAGATGTGGTGCTCATGTGTTGAACCTTGCAGTTAAAGAGGGAATAAAATTAATTGACCAACCAATTGAAAAATTACGTAAAACCGCTAGCAGTATTTGAAATTCACAGCCTATTTTAGAAGAACTTAAAACTATATTTGAAATGAAAAACCAAAAATTTTTAATTCCTGATTTGGACATATCAACCAAATGGAATTCATTATACAACATGATAAAAAAGATGTTGAGGATAAAAGATATGGTTGATATTTTAATAGCTGGGAACAGAACACTTCTACGAATTTATCCAAATGAAGAAGAATGGAATGACATTAAAGTATGTAAAAAGATTTTTTGTATTAAATTTTTTTGCAATTATTTTATATTTTAATTAGATACTTATTCTGGTAAATTTGTTCACAATATAGAATACATATAATTTATTGGAGCCCATTTTTTTGGCAACAGAACTTTTGTCAGGATCTAGTTATCCCACTCTTGGTGACCTCCGATTAACATTTTCAACAATTATTAAGGGATTGAATGAGAAAATTGGTATTGATCCACCAACTACACAATCATTAATAGCAACAGCTATTGTTATTAAACTTGATGATTATTGCAAACTACTTGATCAAAATTCTAAAATCAGTTCAATACTAGATCCTTCACACAAGTTATTGACTTTTCCTGAGTCTGAAGTAGAAAAAGTCAAAACTGAATTTTTAAAAAAATATAAATCATATTCAGAAAAATATGATTCTTCTTCTGAGACCATCATAATGAATCAAACTTCAAAGTGTAATTATTTCCAACAACTACTTAATCAAAACCAAAACAATAATCAATCAACTACTACAAACAATGAATTTATATTTATTAGAAGATACTTTGATGCACCACCAGAAGAAATTGAATGTTTGGATTGGTATGCATCAAGAATAAAGGATCCTAATTATATAACTCTGTCACATATGGCAAAAGATTTTTTTTTGATACAAGCCACAAGTGTATCAAGTGAGCAAATGTTTAGCATTGCCAAACATACATTAAATCCAATTCGAAATAGGTTGGATTCAGAAAAAGCACAAGCAAGTCTATGCTTTAAGAGCTGGATTGAAGCAGAAATTGTTTCAATTTAATTTTGGTTTTTTTATTTTGTTTGTTTTTGTATGTATATATATATATTTTATAACAATAAAATAATAAGTTTTTTTAGTTTAAATAATAATATGTTTAAAAAAAACTTGGGACTTTTTCAGGACTTTTTCAGGACTTAAGTTTGGTCCGGTCCCAAGATAGGACTGCCAGTCCCAGGACCATCCTGAACTGTTTAGGACCGATTAACATCTCTAATATTGATGATTTAATTTAGTCAAAAGTTGATACTTGGAGTTATAGCATGATTATATTTTATTGTTTTTTTATTACATACTACCTTGTTATATCTTTAGATGATTCAATATATACAAAATCAAGCTTCAATTATAGAGCTGGCAGATAAATATGTGGTGAAGACTACAATCTTATATTTGATTATTAATTGATTTACACATCATACTATACATGAAGTTAATGGTTGAAATTATGTCATATCACATGAGAACCAGTGATCCAACTTTAATGAACACGGCTTATTAGAATAGTATCATAAAGGTGATTCAAATAATGGTATTTTTATATTCATATCATAATAAATATAACTCACTAATCAGTGATAAATTTTTCTAAAGAAGAATTATTAGTTTGCATGTATTGTATCCACTGTGGAATCCTAAAATAAATAAATAAAAATATTAACAAAATATTATACATTTATTTGCTTATTATTATATTAATTATTACTAAAACATATGTATAAAATAAAAACTAGGGAATTAAATCTCATTTCAAAGATATGTAGTATAAATATTAATAAGTTAAAATTAGGCATTGTGACTTTAAGTAATAAATATTATTGCATTTAACACAGATATTTATATGTTTATGGAAGTTAAAATAGGTCTTCATGACTTTAACAGTCATTTGCAAATTTTAACTAGGGAATTCGCTAACTTTATTAGAAATTCGCCAGGAATTTGAACTTCGTTAATAATATAAGTCTTTATTTTTTAATACCAACTTTTGGTTTTTTTACATACAGTTAAAACTATAGTTCTTAGCAATACATTCTATATGGTTTTATAAAGGAATAATAAAAGATATGTCACGTTGTATTTAAATATGTCACGGGAATTTTTTATGGACAATTTTCATATTCGATTTTGTAATATGAAGATCCTCTACCCTTAATTGACAGTCCTTTTAAATTACAATTTTTAATAGTGATTGAATAAATTTCAAATCTCAAAAGAACCATTATCGAACTCATCAAACCATTGCTATATTCCTATTGCTCTTTTAAATAAAGGCTCTTTAATAATCAAAATTACAATATGGGTCATTTTCTCCTTATTGGTGGCAGTCTTCTAATAACAGAAAAGTATTTCCTATTCATGGAATTTAATGGGATAAAGCACATGATATCATGTGGTTGCATCACAAATTTACTATATTTTTTTGTGGCCTTTTCTTTTACTGAATTCGGCGTTTTGGGAAATTGTATCATAGTAAATCTGCAAATTTCTTCCCTAAAATCATATAGTATTTTGCTATCGTTCACAGTGGATTTAAATAATCGAGAATCTCGCGCTAGTACTAGTAAAAAACCAACTTTTGACTTGTGTTAAGATGTATAGTCAACTAGGGCCTTTTCAATGTAGCCAAACAAATTGTATTGGTGTTTTGTCCTATAGTTTTGCGATTAAATAATTATCTTAAAAGATATATTTAATCATATACTTCTTTGTTCTATTTGTGGTGAACCTACTTCAAAAGATTGTATTTAAAAGTTTTTAATAATCTCACTTTTTATTAATGATCAAATACAATATCTTGATATCATCTTGGCACCTCTCTAGTTCAATATATATGCAAAAGGACACCTGAAGATATTCTAAGCGTTATCATCAATATATTGAGGCCATCAAAAGATATGCATACATTTAATATGTTATATATAAAAAAGAAAATGTAAAAAATTACAACTGAATATATATATCTTGGGCAACACCTGAAATTTGCTAGATGTTAGAACTGTCAATTTTTATAGTTTAGACTCTTAGACGGCACCTAAAAAAATTTCAATGTGTGCAGTATCGAATTATCCCAGGATCAGCCTTTTCTACTATGATATTTTGACGTAAATGGGAATCCAGCATCAAAGTCTTATGGAATTCCTTGGATTGTTAAATTTTGGTTTCTCAGGTATCCGATCTTGAGAGAAAATTCAAAATTGAATAAAAAGGATTAAATGGAATGAGAATATATGTGTGTGTGTGTGTGTTAATAATTAATTTCCTCTTGAAACTTTTATAATCATTTTGGATTGATTCTATCGATAGTTTTAATTCGTTTGACAAACCCAGCCACATTCATAGGGAAGAGGGAAGCATTATTTATTTATAAGCTGAATTTGATTTGTTTTTTTTTCCTTTGCCTTTCTACATTATTTTTTATGGATGAAACGTCTTTATCGCCTTCCTTAATAATGAAAATGAAAATTGTTACATGTAAAATATTATTTCTGCTAATTCATAACGTCAATTAAATAATTACTATTACTGTTTATAAGCATACTTTAAATGATCCTCCAAGTTATTTTCTTTTTCTTTTTTACCAAATAAATAACTAATTAAAATTTTTTTGCAATCAAAGCTTGATAAAGATAGATTCAATGATGGCAGTTTTAATAGTTATATTTTATATTTTTAAATCAGTATTGTGAAGAAACAAAACCGTGAATAACTAATTAAAATTCGCTTAATCATTATACACGTAAACAAATAGACATTACGTACAACAAACTTATTAAAAATTGGCAATTGGATATACAAGTCATCGTTTGAGAAGGCGGAGGGGAACAAATAAATGATTCAATTAAAATCGAAAATATTTTGATTTTAAATAAACTTTTTATTTTATTCATTTAAAACAAAAAGTACTTTGGTAAAAAACAATAATTGTGGAGCTTTGATACGATAATACCACAAATGTTGATTCTAGAAAAAGTTAGTTATAAGGAGTAATACTGGTTCGCAAATAATCCAATGTTTGATAACATTAACAATAATGGATGGTTTAGTGGTGGAATTTGTATATTATTAATGATAAATATCATCAACAGCAGCAAGAATCAAATTATTATTAGAAAATTCTGCAATTTGAGATTTCTCAAGTTTTTATTTTTAATTAATCAGTTAATTATATATATATAAGTTTTTGAAATATTTATCATAAAATCAAAGTTAATGGAGATGATGATGATTTAGATTAGCAATTTATTTTTATTGTTTTTTATAACTAATTGTATTTAATATATCATATTGATTAGATAAAATAATAACATGATTAATTATTGCAAATTTAAAAAAAATATTCACAACTCATTTCTTCGCTAACTTTGCCTCTATCACGATTAATTATTTCTCCTTAACCAACCAATCATCTTCTTCTCTGCCGTTTTTTTCTTTGCCGCCTGTGAGAACTTCACTAGTTTTAGAAAAGATCTGTTGAGCATCAAAAGATAATGTTGCTGTATCATCGTCTTCAATTAAGTCAAAAATGTGTAATATAGATCTGACAAGTTTGTAAAAAGTCCAGCCAAAAATAGTGAAAAAAGCGGTAACAAATGATGCAAAAATCATCATAATGAATACAGGAATCAAGAAAAATGATCCAACACCAACGAAAAATCCTTCAGCCAAAAAGATTCCAGTGCCAGTAACTAACGCAACGATACTTGTTGTAATAAAAAGAAAAATCAATAGGATTGTTAAAGGTATGGCATTTAATGCTATCACTCCGTAAGTAAACCAACTCAAAGGTGGAAATTTTTCCCAAAAGAAAGATGTTGATTTTTGCATATAATATATAGGATGTGTAGCAACCTCTTTGCCTTTTCGTGCTGCATAACCAATAACTCCTTTAGTTTCATTAATTGTGTCTTCAGTAGTTTCAATAATTTTAGAGCCTTTTGAAGCAATTACGCCTGTTGCTATTCCTGTTGCTCCTGAAATAGCTTCTTTTCCATGTCTATACGTTTCTATTATTTCTGATTCTACTTGTCTTCGTTGTTCCCTGTATTCTTCTTCTTCTTCTTCTTCTTGTTCTTGCTGTTCCTTTTCTCTTTGTCCTAGTGGTTGTCGTTCTTGATAATTATTATCTCCAAATTGATCCATTTCTAATTTCAATTTTATTAGTTATTTTTTTTTTTGTGAAAAAAAATAAGTTATTTTTATAACTAACAATTTATCATTACATAATCACAATAGATTAAAAAAACCATATTACATTATTAATTAAAACAAATAGATTACATAATTAATTAATCAACAGATATTTAATTCAATGATTTAATCTTCAAAAATTAGTTGGTGGCCTAAAAATAGATGATGGCTCTAATCTTGCTAAATATCCTTTGGTTTGGAATGGCAATTCTTGCTGGATGTGTGTGTAAATTTTTGCCAGTCCCACGGTATTGATGTGATAAAATCACATGACTTTACTACTTTTTCTACAGTGCGTTATTACTTCTGCAAAATGATATAAAATCACATGACGGCCTCGACAAAATGATATAACCACCATCACCACTATCACATGAATTAATATTAATCAAAAATATTTTAACTATAATAACAAAGAAGAGGAAAGAAAGATGAGAAAATGAGTAAGTGTTTATCATAAGGATGGTGGTGGTTATCGCCACTCGTCACCACTCTAATTGTTTAAAAAGAATGAGGGCGGCGGTTTGCAGTCATTGCAACTTGTCGCCATTCTAGTTAGTTTTTTTTAAAAAAATAAGTAACGCTTTACACTATTTATTTCAAAATCAAAAAATTTTTTTTAATATTATAAAATTCCAACACCTGAATCTGAATAACTATTGAATTTTAATACGAGCATATAGGAGGATAAGAAGAAATAAGAAAATACATCATCACAAAATAATGATGGTCACGAGGAAATTTGCGTCTTTTCTAACGAAAATAGTCCCTATCGACATGACAAAGTAAAAAAAGAACATTCGTTAAATGAAAATGATAAAGAGGTGGAAAACCTCACTTACGGTGCTTGGTGCACCACCAAACAGACCCTATGCCATTCATAATCAATGGAAACTCCAGAGGGTATTTGACAAGAAGTAGTGTCTATAGAATTTAAATACAAACTTTATTAATCATTCGATCATCAGAAGTCGTGCCAACTTTCTTTAAAGCATATCGTTATTTATATATATATTGTATTGGATTATGATGAATTATAAAAGAAAACCTACTTTTCTTCAATTTGAAATGACATATAAAAAATATACATTTATGTCACTTTTTCCTTTAAGAAATTATTAATAAACTATAAAACTTTATGACCTTGTGGCAATTTCGATTTACATCATCAATAAAATTTAAAAGTGTTTCGAAAAATTGATTCGCAAAAATTTTCACTAGTAATAGTAATTAGTATTATTCAAATAACTCTTACATATTTTAAAAAGAAATCATCATTACAACTGATAAAAATGCATTATTTAATCTAAGTTTTATTTATTATTATTTTTTAAAAAAGTTAACATACCGTTATATATATTAATATTAATAAATCTAATATAATTCGTAAGTAAAAATATGTGAGTATGTAGTATATATATGAGAATCATCCTGTTAACAAAAAAAATAATAAATAAATTATATGACCAAATAAAAAATTACAATCTTTTTAAAAAGTTTTCATGAAGGTTAGTTATTATAAATGTATACACGCACACATAATTTTAAAACATTTAATTTCTATATACAAAAAAAAATTTTTTAACAAGATTTTTACCTACCAATTTTTCAAAAATGCTGGTTAGTCAACACTGATTTTTGCCTTATCAGGCAAATTGTCCAAAAAGTCAAATAAAATCTCCTTTGGTAATGATCTGAATCCTTGCGTTCTTGAAACTGGTCCAAAGTTAATGTTGATAAATCGCATACATCGTTTTTTTAATGCGAATATTTCAGCCACTGAAGCACATTGATATATTCTAGAAACATTGTCAATATTGATTTTTGATTGTAGACAAGCACAGCAAAGTGATTTTAGACGTGGAATAAGATACATATTACCCAGTATCATAAGATCTGCAATAGTATCAACTGAGAATTGATCATCGATTACATCAGTGTATAAGAACGAAACAAAAGCTTGAACGGTTTTATAAGATTCTGGAATGGTTAGGGATTTATTATAGGATTCTAACATTCCTGAATTGATCATATTAGAAAAATGCGACCATCTAGCAATCAAAATGATTCTGTGAACATGAAAGGGTGGTGATTTTGGTTCCTTTGATCGTATAACGAAATCAGAAGTAGCTTCATCGTTGATCAATTGTTGAAAATCCCAACCGATGGTTGTAGGAGGGATGCGAGAGATTCCGTATTCTTGAAGATCGATCGATAGGACGTTTGAAAAATACTCGTCCGAATCCTCTTCTGGATTTCCAAACAAAAAAAAGTGCGAATTATTTTCTGCCATTGCAAAATAGTGCCATTTGCCTTGAACAAATCGTTCACCGTCTTCAAATTTGTGCCATTGTAATGAATCCAAATCTAATGACCAAACACCTATTGAAACTTCTTGTGCGTCATGCTTAACACATTGTGTTATAACCAATACCAATTGATTGCAGTATAACTGTGCAAAGTGTTGGCCATTTATTTCAGGTCCTATATCACACGTAATTTGTATTTTTGAAACTTTGTTTGTCTGAAGATCCAATATGTCCAACGATTTTTCCCTATCCATCTCTTCGTTATAACCCCCATAAGCATAAACCCTGTTTCGAAAAATAAAAGATACATGAGAATGTCTTGGAACAAACTTGATTGGTGTTTCCCATCTCCAAGTACGAAGGTTCAAACAATCTATATAGGATGAAACTTCTGTTGTATCGTACTCATTTTTTGTATAACCGCCAATTATATAAAGTTTATCATTAGAAATGGTGGCAGTATGCTTGGCACGACCATTAGGACGAAATTCGTGTATTTCTGGACATTCCCATGTCATTGTTTTTAAATCTAATATATGGACATCATCACAGTATTGATCTTCAACATCGGTGCCACCAAAAATAAGCAATTTGTCTTTATTCCATAACGAAGCTGAATGATTTGTTCGTTTTGATGGACGATTGCCCTTTAAGTATATTACATCCTCCCATTTCATCTCAGCAATGTTAAGTCTGTATAAATCGTTATAAACCTCATCAGTATATTGATGAAAACCGCCAAACACATAAATGTATTGCGGTGAATGTTCATTTTTGCTATTTGGAGTCACGGTCACCGATGCATTTACACGACAACTTAAAGACACCCCAGCTGTTTTAGTTGGGTAAGGATTGGAAGTAATTGTAGTAAAATTTAATGGACATTTTAATTCACTTTGGGTGTAGTTTGGTGTTGTTGCAAGAGAAGAAGAGGAGATTGGTGAAGAGACATCTAAAGGTGAAGAAGAAGAGTCTGAGAACATTTTTATAAATTATTGTAATTTCTATATTTAAATCTATTGTATTTTAATTTTTAAATTTTTAAATTTTTTTAAATATATAATCATGCAAAATTTATATATTAAAAAAAAAATTTATTGACAAATATCAATTTTTTTTTTAATAATATCTCTTTTTTTTCACCTTTATTATTATTATTACAAATGATTACCCGACACACAATACAATTATTATGTCGCCAGGGATAGGGGATAAGAAAGCTGCCACAGTAAAAATATTCTAAAATTGGTTGATTAGAGAATATCTTTCTATGTTCGTAACAGATGTGTCACGATTTTATCCAAACAATTTATTCAGGACACAAGCCTGTTTTTTGCATGCATTTAATATAATTTTTTTTTGAAAATTGCTCATAACAAATTCGATGCACACATTCATTTGCTCTTTGGAAAGAAAAATTGCTCAATAAATGAGCTTCAATTTGGACGAAATTTATTTAAATGAATATTGGGTGTCAAAAATTGTCCTAGAATATAATACGACGTTGATCTGAGCAAGCGACTTATTATACATTGAAAATGATTAATAACGAGGAAGGAAAAGTCCACAGAGGTGATGATGGCAAAAGAAAATTTGACCCAGAAAATTGGTGTCAACATTTTCCTTTCTAGTTGTTGCGCCCCAATATCTAAACTGAAGTTTTTCCATACTTTAGACAAAGTCTTTTCTATATAATTAAGCCTTCGGAAAATCGAATCGAGTCGGATTTTAAAGCGATTTGATTTGATTCAAATCAAACCAGATTTTTAAATTGATATTATGTTTTAACAATAAAATGTGTTTATAACTAGAATAAGGCAGATGCGGTCAAGCCTCATTTCAACGACTCTATGTGAAGCAAAAATTTGTTGTGATGCGAATTTAATTATATATTTAATATAATGAAACGGAAAAAATAATCAATGTTCAACAAATGAATTTAATTTAATAACTTTACCAAAAACGGTCAAATAAAATTCAAAACAAAACCTTTCTTTATTAGATTTAGTCTGTTTTATCCTTTGACCAAATCGAGTAAAGTTTTTTGTAATATTATTGGAATCAGGGAATACGTTCTACCTGTTAATTAAAACATCTCACTCTCATTATTTTAATATTTTAATATTGAAAAGTCGAATGCATAATAATAATAATAAATAATAATAATAATAATAAAGGGATAACGGTAGAACAAAGAAAATTATTGTGGAAACATCGCGTGCAATTGGAAGCTTCCAGCCAATAAAATTTGAGAATCAAAAATTAAATTTGATTTTAATTTTCAGCCAATTAAAATTTTATCAAATTTCTGTTTTTAGACATTTTTTTCAAAATGGAAAATTTTTACTAAAAAGTATTTGATTATTGCTATACAATAATTGCTGATTATAGAAAAGCCTTTCGTCCGTGAATTTTATTAAACTGGGTTTTTTTTTGGAGGCATAGAAATGTAAAAAATATATCTGCAACATTGAATTTAAATGGGCAACTAAACTGGAGAAAATAAAAAATTCATAAAAATAATTTATTAGTTTATTTATTTCTTGAACTCTCATCAAAACCAATTATGACAGAGCCAAAAAACCAACACCTGGCAAGATGTGTTAAAGTATTAGGCAAACAAAATAAATGCAATATACATGCTGTTTGCATTGGCTGCTATGGAAGATTAGACACAGAAAGACTAAATAAACATACTTTTACAAGCAAGAGGCCACAAGCTAAAAATCATTTAAAAGGTCGCGTTTTTCAAATGTCTTTAATTTATCACGTGATTAATCCTGATTGTGCAATAGTATTGATGACGTAGTCAGTCTTCCAACCTCATTCTAGGATCATTACTAGTTTACAAATGTAATTTTTAAACCAAATCACGCGAGGTCCCATTTTTTGAAAAAAAAATTTTATTGCATTTTTGAATGAATCATGAAATCGCTATTTTTGAAATTTGAGCTTGTGGCGCATAGTGATGGGCGGGTTTATAACAACCTAGTTTATACCCTGTTATATACCTGTTATATACCATGTTATATACCATTACCACTTTTATAACACGTTTATACCATGGTTGTACAAAATAATAAAATTTTTTAAATGAGAAAATGAGGCCACAGCATTTTATTTGGAAACATTTCAAAAAGTCACAAGAAAGAAAAAATAACAAGCAGCATTATATAGCTTCTTGTAATTATTGTCAACATGCTTTTGATGGACAACCTCTTCGCATGATTAAACATTTACTTTCTTGTAATAATGCACCAAATGAATTGAAAATATTGTTAAAAAATAAAACTAAAGATTTTGATAATGTTCATAGAAAAAATAAACAAAAAGTCATGGAAGGATTCATTGATAAATGTTCAATTAAAGAAAAAGAAGAACTAGACAATTATTTATCTCTAGCAATTTTTGGTAGTGGTCTCCCCTTATCAATTGTAGAAAATCAGTATTTTATTAATTTTTGTAAAAAACTACGTCCTGCTTATGAATTACCATCCAGAAAAACACTCACTATCAAATTGTTAAATGATAAATATAATGAAATTACTGAAAATAATAATAATCAAATTGAAAAATCGAAATATGTCTGTATAACAAGTGATGGCTGGACAAACAACCATAATGAATCAATTATTAATTTCATGGTTACTTTACCAAAACCACTATTTTGGAAGGCATTAGAAACCAAAGAATCATCACACACTGCTGAATATATCTCAGAAAAAATAGAAGAAGTAATTAGTGAAGTTGGCCAAGATAAAGTTGTTGCAGTTTTGACTGATAATGCAGCCAACATGAAAAAGGCTCATAAGATTCTTAATAATAAATTTAACAAAATTATTTTTATAGGTATTTGTTTTATAAATGTTTAAATTAACATGATTATTAGAATTACTAATTTTTAGTTAATTTCAGGTTGCTTAGCACACGGAGTGAATCTTATTATTAAAAAAATTATAGATTTACCTTGGGCAAAAGAAATTATAGATTCTGTCAAAGATATTGTTAAATTTTTTAAGAAACATCATATTGAAGGGTCATGTTTAAATAGAATCCAAATTGAAAAAATTGGTAAAAGAATACAATTGCAATTACCTGGTAATACACGTTGGGGCTCTCATTATTTCTGTTTAAATTCAATAATTGCAAGTAAAAAAGCTTTGCAAGTAACTATCATTTATATTACATATTTATGAAAGGCTATTTCATTCTAATGTTTTATTTAATAATTTGATTTAAATAAATTATATAGGTTGTTGTTTTTGAAAATGCTGTACAAAGAACAATCACCCCAGAATTAATATCAAAATTAGTTGATACCAATTCATTTTGGCCAGCAACAGAACTTTTATGTTCTTTTTTAAAATTATTTGTTGATATGTTTAAAATATTTGAAAGTGATAAACCAAATTTATCATCAGTATATAACGAGTATGTAAAGTGTAATTAATTTTATTATTTTATTTTATTATTTTTTGAAATATCATTACTAAATATCAATTAAATAAATACAGATTTATTATTCTTGGGAATGGAATTTCAAAATCAACAATTCCTATCAAAGATGAGGTTTTGGATATATACAATCATTATAATGAAAAATTATATCATCCAGCCATTGCTATTGCTTATTTTTTTGATCCTAGATATAAAGGCAAATATCTACCAGATAGAATTTCAAGTATCTCATATATAGTTGAAGAGACAGTCAAACTTACTGATAAAACAAATATTGGAAAATTAACTAAAGAGATTATGGAATATCATGCCAAGTCTAGTCGGTTTAGTTCAAATTTTTTGTGGTTAAAAGAAGCAATTGAGGATCCAATCACTTGGTGGTCATCTCTAGAGAAAGATGTTCCAATTTTAAGTCAGGTTGCAATAAAATTAATGAAAATACCTGCTTCTTCTGCAGCATCAGAACGTAATTGGAGTGATTTTGGTTATATTCATAATATTAGAAGAAATAGACTCACAAATGAAAATGTATTTAAACTCGTTTCAATATATTCCAACTTAAGATTATCTAATTCATATGAAAAAGGATTGAAAAATGATTCTGAATATCAAGCAGAGATCAATGACAAGAGTAAAAATGAAGATGGAGATGAAGAAATTGATGATTATTGGGATTTTGATTATAATGACTATGATTATAGTGAAAATTATGATGATGACAATGATTTTGATGAATTTATTAATTTAGAAGATAGTGATAACATTCAAGAATTCTACAAAGATGTATAACATAAGTTTATTATACAATTAGCATTTCTTATTATAAATAAATATTCAAACCAAAATTGTTATCTTATTGCATATTAATGGTATATACCAACGAATGGTATATACCATTTATACCCGGTATATACCATGGTATATACCACAATCAATTTCTTGTGTAATTTTTTAGTAGGGGTATATACCATGGTATATACCGGGTATAAATATGGTATATACCACTCAAATCTTTTATAACATGTTATATACCATCCCTAGTGGCGCACCAACAGGAGGAAGTCTTTAGACCAAGCCAACCATAATATGTGCTTTAATTAATATTAATATTGTATTCACTACATGTAATTTTTTATATGTAAAATATATAATAATAAGTTTGGAAATAAACAAACAATGACAAGATTTAACTCAATTTAGTAATTCATCTGGTATATTTAATTCAATCTGTTGAGAATCTAAAAAAATATTTAACATAAGAGTGGATATTAATAAATTAATAAAAAATGAAAACAATCGAAAGATTAAATGTTAATAATTACCATTATTATTACCAATAATTGTCACTTTATTGGAATTCACAGGTTGGGGAAGGCCTGTAAATTCTAATAACCTGCTAGTATAAACAGCATTTGGATGAATTGTTGCAGTAATTGTTGAAGGATCAAATTGTATTTCATCCATTTTATCAAATTCTTCAAATGAACTAAACCAAAAATCAATAATATTTTCAATTTCTCCTGCAGTTGGACGTTTATCTGGATTAGCATCCATGCACCTGAATGCTAGTTCAATATAGAATTTTGGTGTGTTGTTTGAGAATCCAGGTCTTACACCTCCGCATATTTTTATTGCAAGGTCTACATCATGTGCCAAATTATTAAGTGGTTGCTGGCCAGTTGACACTACAGACATAAGAACTCCAAAACTATAAATATCTGATGCTTTTGTATATGGTTTCTTTTTTAAAACCTCTGGTGCAACATATGGTAGCACTCCAAATGTATCATTTTCGTTTGATACAGATGTTTGACTAGCTAGGCATGATAATCCTAAATCTGTAATAAATGATAAATTTTTATATTGAAGAATATTACCACTATGAAGATCATGGTGAACAATTTCTTCTTCATGAATATCTTTTAAACCTTTAATAATTTGTTTAAGAATTTTAATTTTGTCTTTCCATTTTAGATTTTTAAAATCTTTTGTTAAATAATTTTGAAGACTTCCATCTTCTATATAATCCATTATAATTATATATTCTTTTGTAGTTGGATCTTGTGTTAATCCATAAATATGAATTATATCATCTTTATAATAAAACCTTGTATAATTTTTGAACTAAAATAACAATAAATATTTAATTACAACAATAATAATCAATAAGATTTTAATTAATATTAATAAAATAATTTACCTCATTAAGAAATTCATTAGAAATATTCTGTAAATTATGCAATTTTTTTAATACCACAACCCTATCTTCACTGATTCTTTTGTTATTATCATAATTTACACATTTCTCGCCATTTAACCAAGTAGCTTTGTATATAATTGCAAAACCACCTTCACCTATCTTTTCAATATTCGTTAGATCGTTATAAGGAACCCATTGAAGATAATGAGAATTATTATAGTCTGTTGCTTTAAGTTGCGTACTTTTAACCAACTCATCTATCATTTTATTACCACTGGTCCATCCTTCAGTTAATAGCTTTGGGTCACATGTTTGACACCATGAATACCAAGTATTATATCTATAACAAGTTGAACATTCCCCGTAATTTTTTTGTCTTTTCTTTGAATGTTCATCATCATAATATATATTGGTGAAAAAATTCTTTAACCATTTTTTGCTCTCATTTAAAGTGTTATTCATTTTAAAAATTTTATTTTTAGCCACATTGAACACAAAATAATAATATTAATATATTTAGCTTTTTTGTCCACATCAACAAATAGAATGTCTAATTTTTTTAACAGGCAATATATCCTATAACATGTAAATTATAACTGGTGAAGATATTAGATCCTGTTTGCTTAATATTAATAAAAAAATGGGAATCGTGCCCGGAGGTTGTTTTTGCTGGAGACAGTCCCATATTTGTAATGCCATAATTAGTTTTTCATAGTTGCCATGATTAACTTTAATAGTTGCCAAAATTATCTCTATATCTATAATTACTTGAACTCCAAATCAAATGGCATATTATTTGTTAGAAATCGAAAAGGAAAAAAGACCATAGCGAGTATTGTTGGGGGAGAGGAATTTGAGTGCTTTTCTGGTTTTATTATAAATATTACTCAGGCTGGACTTTCTTTGCATTTGCTTGATGCGTCTTCTTCAATATTAACAATTGATAATGTAAAGTAAATGCGAAAAATTCAATTGCTGTAAAACTGATATTATCAAATTTTCAGGGCAAAGTATTAAGATTGGATAACAACACGATTTCAGGGTTAAGCAAAATTTACAATATCAATGAATCAACCATTAGAAACTTATTGGAAGAAAACATTGTTATATTGCGGCATTATATTTATACCTATATAAATTTTATCGCTTTGTGAACTAACATCCATGTCATTTAAAAAAAATTTCAAATTTTGCGGTTCGTACAAACGTTCATTATTATTATTATTATTAACATATCAGTCGTTGATATACAAGACTACTAATCAAAACCTCTACCGGCTGGGACAGCACCATTAATAATATAGAGATAATAAATACTTAAGCTTAGAGGGCAGTATACTTTTATAACATTTATATTAATTATTTTTTTGTGAATATAAGCAATAATATAATAATAGTATAGTGCAAGTCACTTAGTCGCTGAACTTTTTGTGCTACACCGCCATTTTTTGAGAAAAAAATTTCCAATCAAAAA